TGTCATTTACCTTGATTTACAATAGTTATAAGTCTTATTAAATATTACTTTCAAGATATTTCTTTAATGATTAAATAATATTTTTAATTTTAACTTTTAATTCATTAAATTTTTTGTTATAATATTTATTAATTAATATTTTAAAATATATTTCAAGTGTCATTAAATGAATAATTAAAATATTATTTCAATTATTTATATAATTTTAATGTGTTAAACTAGCATAATTTTTTAAAATACTTTATTAAACAATATTCTCATAACATTTTATTTCATTAGTTTATTTTATTTGTTTAAAAAATATGTTATAATATTTTAAATTACTATTTTATTTTTCTAAATAATAGTTAAATTAATACTATTTATTGGGCCTTTGTTAATAATATTTTAAATAAATATTTTATTTTTTTACATAATAGTTTAAATTAATACTATTATTTTGCATTTGTTAATAATATTTTAAACTCATATTTTATTTTTTAAAATAATAGTTTAAATTAATACTCTCTAGTGGATTTGTTAAATTTTATTTTGTTAATAATAGTTTATTGGGCTTCATTAACAATATTTTAAATTAATATTTTATTTTATTTAATAATAGTTTAAATTAATACTATTTATTGGGCCTTTGTTAATAATATTTTAAATAAATATTTTATTTTTTCACATAATAGTTTAAATTAATACTATTATATTGGATTTGTTAATAATATTTTAAATTCATATTTTATTTTATTAAAAAATAGTTTAAATTAATACTATTTATTAGATTTTGTAAATAATATTTTACATTAATATTTTATTTTTTAAAATAATAGTTTAAATTTACATTCCATATTTTAAATTAATACTCTCTAGTGGACTTTGTTAATAATATTTTAAATTCATATCTTATTTTATTAATAATAGTTTATTGGGCTTTGTTAACAATATTTTAAAGTAATATTTTATTTTATTAAAAAATAGTTTAAATTTATATTATTTATTGGGTTTTGTTAATAATATTTTATATTAATATTTTATTTTTTAAAATAATATTTTAAATTAATATTATTTATTGGATATTTTAAAATATTTTAAATATTTAATTTTAAAATATTTTAAAAAAACAAATGGACTGGGCCAGCCGAGCAAGCCCAATCACTGGGCCAAGCCGGCCCAGTCGCTGGGCTTGCCTAGCTGACTACGCTGCCCCGGCCGGGTAGGGTCGGCCCAGTCATTGGGCCGGCCATTCTGTCCTTTAAAAATAAAAAAAATAAATAAAAACATAAAACCATCAAAAATAAACGGTAAAGAACTAAGCGTGCATGTATATAAGCATGTATATATATATATATGTACATAACTATTGCATGTAGTGTGTAAATTTAAATAAATGGGAGAGACAAATCGTACCAGTGCGGTGTGGCGCGGTGCAGTAGCGGAGCAAAAAACAGAGAAAGAAGAGAGAGAAACGGGAAAGAGAACAAAGAGTTGGAGATGGAACCGGGGGGCCAGGCGATGGTTGATATATAGGGGGAGTTACCGACGCATTGCGTCGGTAATGTGCATTGGTAACTCCTCTGTTCATGTGCCTTGAAAAGCGCGAGGTCGCCCATTACCGATGCATGGAATTCAAATTACTGATGAATATGTGTTGGTAAATTAAATAATTATTTTTTTTTCAAATTATCGACACAAAACATTGTGTCGGTAAGACGATGCTTAATTACCGACGCAAATTTTGCGTCAGTAATTTTAATTTTTTGAGAATTCATTTTATACTAATTATTTTTTGAAGGTACCGACGTAATATTTGCGTCAATAATATTTTATTTCTTTTTTTATTTATTACTGACGCACTATTCCTCGTCAGTAATATTTAACCAAAAAATTACCGATAAAAATTTTTCGTTGGTAAAAGTTTGACGCCTTTTTTGCGTCGATGTTGCGTCAGTAAATTACCGACGCCTTTATGCGTTGGAAATATTGTTTGTATTCTGACGAAAATCTCTTGCGTTGGTAAATTTCGTTGCTAATTCGTCATTTTCTTGTAGTGTCTTTAACTAACTGTTGACTAGTAATTACTTAATAGTTTTGTTAAAAAAGAGATTATGGTAACTTAATTTCACCTGATTTGATTATTTATCTGATTAAAAATTAATTTAAATAACGCTTAGTCCACTTTTATTTTAACATCTAAAATAAAACGAAAACATAATTAAATAAAAATTATTTAAAAATTTAAATTTAATAAACTTAAATTATCAAATTTTAGATTTTTTGATCTTTTAAATTAAAAATAAGAAATATAAAAAATAACTTTTTAAAGTGAACCAAATAATATTTTAATTTTTAAACTGATGAGTAAGCGAAATGTGTGAAATTGAGTTATCCTCATTTATTTTTTAACAAAATAGTTAGATAACTATTAATCAACAGTCAGTTAAGAGAAAAAGATATTTTTTTACGATAAAAATGAGATTGAATATTATTTAAGTAAATTTAAAGGAAGGAGAGTATTTTATATCCTATTTTTTAAATATAAAAATCTCAATTTTTATATATTTCTTGTGATAGTTAAATCCATTAATCAAAAAATATTTGAATTTTAACTTTTTTTTTAGAAATTATGAATATCTAGAAACATATTTGACTTTAACTAATCTAACTTGACCTAACTTAGAGTTCATAATGGGGCAAAAGATTTTTTCATATATAAGATTTGAATTCAAAATATGAATGAAATATTTAACACTGCACCCAACCACCCATTGATCTTCAATTTTTTAACTTTGTAACCCATCAACTTTCTGTAACAGACTTCAATTTGTTAAACCCTATTTTTCATGCTTTTGGCCGAATATTCTCTGTAATGGTTGAATTTCTGCACTGTGATTCCCCTATGATATTATTGTTAGGCTAGAATCAAATTATTAGCGGTCCTAAAAGTCACTCATCTTTTCAAGATGCCTTCTAACCTTGCCACCGTATTTTGGTTGGTAAGGATGGTGCATGTTCTCTTGCTCTTAGAATAGTTGCTGGCAAGAAATGTCTGTCTATATTTGGAAAATAGAAATATTTTTAGTAGCAGCAAAAAGAATAAATTAAATACTACACGAAATGCAATATTACTCGTGAGTCCCTTAGGGACCAACAATGACGGCAGGTAACAACTCAAATTGGATCAGCTGGCGCATCCTAACCCAGCCCATTTCTACTCTGCTGAGCCCAATATCAGTAGGCCTGTCCTGATTCTGGGCCCAGTCCAACGTGCAAACAGATTCTTGGCGGTGGATGTAGCATCCCAGCTCGTATCCTTGGTAACATGAGATTGATGTGCCAGAATGGCAGCACATTAATAGGCCACGTGTCCCATTATTCTTCATGTTTCCAATTATTTTAGGGAATGCCAAACAGTTTTTTATTTTTTTAACAATCAAAACCACTAGGTCGGGGTAACAAAAAAATAAAAAAAAAAGTCGGGATAACAAAAAAAAAAAAAAAAAAAAAAAAGAGAGAGAGATTTCAATATAATTATTATCTCTTGTGATGCAAGTTGATTATATTAAACCACATAAATCTTTATATTTTGTTTCTATCTATTTTCTATCCCTAGTTTCAACTTTCAATCCTTAACATTTAGATCCAAGCTGCTCCTGAACCTTTTCTTGGGCTCAATCGATTCCAGTTCATCCATGTCCAACCATTACATAATAATCCACGATTACGTCAATTTTGGCTCCTTTTCCCTCCCTTTTCAAACACCTCCAAAGCCTTATAATTCCTTGTGGCAGTTTTAATTAATACGAAATTCACGCGCTCTTCCCATTTTATCCCTTCTTCTTTTCCATCTATAAACACATCATGTCATCCTCCATTGAAGCCTGTATTGGAAGCTTGCACAAGTTTAGAGTAAACTTTGTCGGATTGGAGATGCATACTTGGAGAAGACAAAATTAAAAGGAAGAAACTCTCCTACAATATTCTGTCTTAAGTTCTCAATTTTTTTAATCAATTAAAAATTAATTAATTTAAATTAATTAAAATGATTTTTTTAATTCTCATTTTTCGGCTTCACTGCGAAGAAGCACTGAACATCGTGTACCAACTTTCATAAAGTTCAGTAAAAAACACTTGTTTCATACGACTTTTTCTAGAATTCAGAACAGCTTTTTGATTTCTTATCGGACCAGAATCAACATATTAAAAGAATTTTTAAATATATCTAGAATTTCTTAATTTGCTTAACAAGCACGTTGGATATCTCTCCACTAAACCCACCTCAGTATACTTCATATAGAAAGAGGATTACGTGTTTCCCTTATTATCGTCCAATAAAAATGGTTTGCTCAAGGATTTTCTTGTGGAACCAGGATAATTAAATACTTAAAAGGGGCCGTATGAACACAACAACAAAAGGCCCATAGACAAAAAACAAAATATATATTTCTACTATGCACCAGCTGCTCACCAGAATAAAGAAATAATTTGTCCTCCTCCTCCTCCGCCTCCTTTTTGCCCTTGTACCCTTCATAGATCTTCAACTTTCTATTGCTAAGGAAATTACGGATGTGAAAAGAAGGAACTTAAAAGGTAAAAAGCGTTCAGGGGAAAAAAATCATGGGAATATAAGTTAGCAATAACAAGAGGAAAATCTGAAGAAGCAGTGCTTATTCATTAATGTCCAAACAAACACACCATAGTATCATCAACTCAGCTCTTACACTACAGGCCTGCTTGCCTTACATAGTCCTTAACATTTCTCTTCCATGCAAGCAGTTTCCTTAATAAGCTGGTTGCCATGGCAAACACGCTAAAAAACAGAGAAAGAAAAAAAAAGGGCGAAGGAGATGAATCAAACCTGTGTTTGGTTATTTATATACATAAATACATATATAAATATGGATTAAGTAATTCAGCCCACAAGACGGGAGGAAGGGAGATGGTCAGAGGACAAAGAACCAATTGAACCACGGCACACCGGTGGTGAAACAACTCGTGCGGCGTTGCAAAAGCCTCTATTTGTCGTTGTCGTTAATAGAGGCGAGTCGCATGGCAATATAGTCACTAGTCTTTCTGTCAATGTCGTGATCGGCGACCCAGTGGTCTCGGTCCTCGTCGCTGCGCCAGGCCTTGTAGGTCTTGACTGAGCCGTCCCACGAGTAGTCGACGACTCGGCTAGTTGACCTCTTGGGCTTGAAGACGCTGGAGAACCGAGACTTGCTCTGCTTGTTGTCGCCTCCCATGGGTATTTGGGTAGGAAGCGAAGTGGATGGGAACTGTGGGGGGGAAGGGCTGGGGTGCACCCTGTGTTTGGGTGTAGAGAGAATGAGATGAATGTGAACTACTGTGTGACAAAGGGTGGGGACGCACTTTGTGTTTGGGAAGAGAGAGAACGATGTGGATGTGAACTGCAGAGGGAAGGCGGGGGTGCACTATTTGCTTGGGTAGAGAGAGAATTAGGTGGATGTGGGCTGCTGTAGAGGGAAGGAGAGAGGTGCACTTCGATTTATAGAGAGGTGGGGGTGGAAAGATAATTTTGAAGTGATTCGGGGGCGTTTTTTAAATATCTTATTTTGCAGTAGAGAATCCGGGGAGCTGAAGAGCGTTGAATTATTCGTAGAGGAGTTGAACACCGTTGATTTAGACGGATGGACGGGATGAAATGAAGTGACAACTCACAGGTCATTTATTGTTTGGTTTGCCATTCACAAAGCGCTTGTGTCGCTTTGCACCGCTACATTTGCCCCAAACATGTCATTTGACTCGGCATCCTTGTCTCCTTTCCGTTTTTAGGACGTTACTAAACTTTTTTTAATTTTTAAAAAAATTAGAAGTTAAGAATTTAAAATTAAATAAAACAAACTGATAACCTATTTCTGTTTTCACTGGTAAGAAAATAATTTGTTTGATTTAATATCTCTTCGAATTTATTTTATTTGTAATTAATCTCATTTAATTAAATTTCAGCATCTTTCAAAAATACAAAATATTCTTGTTTCCATTTTGGTTAAAAATAGTTTTTAAAAGGAAATTCTGAAATTATAAAAAAAATTGCTAATTTTCAACTATTATTTTTTTCTCTGTCACAAAAAAAAACAATTTTTGAAATTCAGTCATAGAAATTAAGATCATAAAAAGAAAATGTAACGGTGAAAATATTTAAATTAATAAAAAGAAAAGGAAAAGCAAGCGAGTTCTTCGAAGTCCATTCAGAGTGCCGAGGGAAAATATTCTTGCCCGAGACACTGGAATTCCCCAGTACCGCAGTTTCTTCTCCGATGAACGAAAATGACCCTTGGAAGCAACCGTGAATCCAAATTGCATGCTCATGCACAGGAAATTAGGGTTTTATTGGGGACACGAAGGGATATTTTACTTGATTTTCATTTTTATTTTGGACTATTTTTTGCCGCTCTTGATTTTTTTACTGTCCTCTCATGGTGCACAACTTGGGTGTTAATCAAATACATAACAATTAGTTGCTTTTCATCTACAGTGATCCAACTGGGAATATCACGTGATGTCCACTAATGGTGGCTGTTGCTGGTTCATAATAAGCTATGTAGCTAAGGGCTTGTTTGCCATAATTTTTTGTGAAGAATTTTTTTACTGCAGAGATCATTTTGCCTTAGATTTTCATTTTCATTTTTCTTAGTTTCGATCAGTTATATGTGAGCTGCTAGCCCACTTGAGGAAAAAATGTACTACCTCCTTGGTTCAATGAAGGTGTTCATAACATGTGGAATAATGGGATATACAATTGTTGTTTGGCATTTCGGCTTTGCCAAACATCCCACTACCATCCAAACATTGTCTTAAAATGGTTATGAAAGGGGCACAACAACTTGGATTGGTATTGTAGACGTGCCCTGACTTCTTACTTCATTATTGAAGAAATCTAAACTTTCTATTTCCAAACTCAAATTAAACTTTCATTAATTAATAGTTTGATAGGAGACTAATCAACCACCCTTTAGCATGTAAACCATGCAAAACACATTGACAATTCAATTCAAAATTCTCTCACTCTCCTTAGATGTAATAAAAACATCCATGAATTTACAAGAAATTACATTATGCCATTGAATCTGTTAGTAGAACTACTTATCAAATCAATACCTAATTAATTAAGTAAAATGAGTTAATTAAACAATTATATAGTGCACCTAACTCCATCAGATGCTACCTTACAAAAATAAAGAAAGCATATCTTTTTAAATACGAAGTATTATCAAATATCTTTATTGATTGTTCATATCTCTTTCAAGCCTTGAGAGTCTTTTGTGAGACTATTTTATTAAAAAGAAACAGAGAAATGTAACTTAACGGAATCTTATTGCTATAATAAGCTTGTTTAGTTCATCATTCACTTCCAATCAAAAATATATGTACACTCATGCAAAAATTTTTGTTGTAAATAAGTTAATATGCATAAAACAATAACAGAAAATATAAAAAGCTCAAGATATAGTAAGGGTTTAAAGATGTAGACATTCAAGACACTTGTCTTACATTTATAAACTCTTTTTTCAATAATTCATGCCAACACAATTATATTGAATAATCATATTGAAGTATATAAAGTTGTTTAAAATCAAATGGCGTGATTCACATTTGAAAACAACGTATACATAATTCAATTAAAAAGGCCATAACAAAAACATATATTGAGAATAAGTATTATCATTCACAAAATACCATGTTAATTGTTCCAAGCTTCTACGATAGTATGGAGCTAACATATCACATGAGGGCCTCCAAGGGATTTAACAACATAAGTAAGCTATTAAGACGAACTTAATAGCAAGATCCACAAGAAAACCACCCTGTTAATCAAAGCTACAAAAAACTCAGTGGGCGGCTAAAGGGATATACCTTGATGAATAGGGACATGCAAAAAGGTTTCTACAATTGAAATTTATTGAGAAGGAGAAGAGGGTATTCTGCCTACAATGACTTGAGAAAAGCAAAGGGGGAAAACTTGTGACACGCGGACCAACTTTCGAGTTCAAAGCAGCAAAGGTGTCAATTGCAACTATGAACAACCAGCTAAAACAACAAACCACAATGAAGGAGGTTTCAGGACTAGAGTGATTAGAGAGAGAGATCGTTGTCTTCTGCGACTAAGGGTGAACATAGATAGCTAGAATAAGGGAGCCTTGGTTGTTAGCAATCAACCTAATAGCATCCTAATAAAAAAGGTGCAACACCATGAGCTTCATCTCGCTTGACATATCTACGACATACACATGTATCTGATACGTGAGAGGGAGAAAAGACTTACTTTACAAGCCGTATCAAGCTTAGAGATAAAAATTGTCAGCAAAAGGTGAGCGGCGGTGATCCAAGGTGGCCTATTTTCAGGCAACTGGGTAAATGGTGTGCATGGCTGAGTAGGGAAGAAAGAGACTTGCTCTTAAGGTATGATTGGTAGAAGGAAAGAGAAAAGAAAGAGGGCATGTGAGTAGAAGGCCTCATAATTGGTCAGATCTGGACAAAAGAAGGGTTCATTATTGGGGAAAGGACCAAAAATGGTGGACTGCTGCACCGGAGGCGAAGATGTCAGCCGTTGAATATAGTCAGCCCACATGTCGTGCGAGAAGAAGAAAAAGGAAAAGAAAAAGAGGCTGTGGCTAGGGTTTCTACCCCTGTTTTTTTTTAGATAAGGTGTTACAAGTAGTAAATTGTTACACCCCAACCCGGGCACATGATCGGCACTGGGATTGGCGTACCAACCCTAGTAAGCATCTGACTAGAACGAAACAGATAATACATATTATCAGAAAACTATCAATATACATAACATAACACATCTGAACTATATATGGAGCGTCTAAAGTACAAAAAGGTAAGTGTACAGAAAGTGCCCGTACAAAAATCAATACAGTTGTAACGGAATTGATGTAGAAGCTACCGCTGCCAAATAAAGCTGGAAACTAGAAGGTAGAGAAAAAGTGGTGAGTATAAAACTCAGTGAATGACAGTACTATCTAGACATACTAGGACAGGAATTGAAATCATCCAAACACATGTATCACGCAAGTAACAACACGGTTTGCAAAAGTCACATTACTTTAGCTAATACATGTAGTTTCATATGCACAGTTATAATCGGAGAATCAGAAATAAATTAGAGTATCAGAATATAACACATAACACATATTAGAATCAGAGCCACAGATAGATCCAGGGCACTTCCCGCACGTGACAGCGGCCAACTGTCTGGACTCAGGGCACTCCCCGCACAGTACAGCGGCCAACCGTCCACCGGCTGAGCCCCTGGCATCCCAAATCAGAATCGGAGTCACACATCACATATCACATATCAGAACTAGAGTCACATGTGGACCCAGGGCACTTCCCGCACGCTACGGCGGCCAACCGTCCGGACTCAGGGCACTCCCCGCATAGTCCGGGGCCAACCGTACAGACTCAGGGCCCTTGGCGTCCTATATCAAAATCAGAGTCACAGGTGGACCTAGAGTGCTTTCTGTGCGACAGTGCCCAGCTGCCCGACGGCAGAGCCCCTGGTGTCCTGTAATAACCCAAATTTTAAATAAATAATAATTAATTAAATTAATAATCAGGGGCTTAATTGTGAAAATTAGAAATTTGGGGGCTTAATTTGGGAATATTAGAAGTTTGGGGGTTGATTTGGGAATTCTGGAAAGTATGGGATTTCATTGAAATTTGTCAAAGACTGAATTGAAGAAAAACAAAAATTGAGGACTAGATCTAAAAAAAGCACAAATTTTCGTCCAAATCGGTGGCTGAAGCTTTTAACGCCGAATTCGCCACGATGGTTGAAGTTTTCGGTGATTTGTTCACACTGTCGCGTGCGTATTTAAGAGAGGAGTGAAAGCCCTCTCTCAATTTTAGAATTCGAGTGAGTTTAGAGAGAGAAATTGAGAGTTTTCTACAAACAGGTTCGTCCGTGATTTGTGAGGAAATTTTGAAAAAATTTTGATGATTTATTAGTTTTTAATTCGATTATTGGGTGTAGTTCGACTCGTTCTGCTCAAATCTACCAATTTCGGGTGTGGATTGATAAGGTAAGTGGGTTTTTCTATTTTATTTCGATTTTTTATAATTTATTTTTGATTTTCAGAAGTTACAAACCCAGTTCTGTGAACCGGGTTTGTTAAACCCGGAAATTCCGGGTGAACTGGGCGGGACCCGAATGATCCGGGTCCCTTGTGCAGGTTGCAAGCCCGTCTGGGCTGTAGCCCATCCGGGCCACAAG